CAAAAAGAGGGTCCTGAGACCCCCAAAAGGGTCCTGAGCCCTCCAAAAGGGTCCTGAGCCCCCCCAAAAGGGTTCTGAGACCCCCAAAAAGCGTCCTGACCCCAAAAGGAGGGTTCTGACCCCAAAAAGAGGGTCCTGAGTCCCACAAAAAGGGTTCTGACCTCAAAAAGGGTCCTGAGCCCAAAAAGAGGGTCCTGAGCCCCCCCAAAACGGTTCTGACCCCAAAAAGAGGGTTCTGACCCCAAAAAGAGGGTCCTGAGTCCCACAAAAAGGGTTCTGACCTCAAAAAGGGTCCTGAGCCCAAAAAGAGGGTCCTGAGCCCCCCCAAAACGGTTCTGACCCCAAAAAGAGGGTTCTGACCCCAAAAAGAGGGTCCTGAGCCCCCAAAAATGGTCCTGAGCCCCCCCAAAAGGGTCCTGGCCCCAAAAGGAGGGTCCTGAGCCGAAAAGGAAGGTCCTGAGTCCTCTCCAAAGGGCTGATGACCCCAAAAGGAGGGTCCTGCCCCCAGAAGGAGGGTCCTGGCCCCACAAAGAGGGTCCTGAGTCCCCCAAAAGGGTTCTGACCCCAAAAGGAGGGTTCTGACCCCACAAAGAGGGTCCTGAGTCCCCCAGAAGGGGTCGGGATCCCCCCAGGAGGGTCCTGTCCCCCCTGGACCGGTCGATCCCACTCCTCCGTGGATCCACCCTGACCCCAGGGATCCACCCTGACCCCACGGATCCATCCTGACCCCATCCTGACCCCACGGATCCACCCTGACCCCACGGATCCATCCTGACCCCACAGATCCACCCTGACCCCAGGGATCCACCCTGACCCCACAGATCCACCCTGACCCCATCCTGACCCCACGGATCCACCCTGACCCCACGGATCCATCCCGACCCCATCCTGACCCCACAGATCCATCCTGACCCCACGGATCCATCCTGACCCCACGGATCCATCCCGACCCCACAGATCCATCCTGATCCCCCACGGATCCATCCCCACCCCACGGATCCATCCTGACCCCATCCTGACCCCACGGATCCACCCTGACCCCACAGATCCATCCTGATCCCCCATGGATCCATCCCAACCCCACAGATCCATCCTGACCCCATCCCAATGCCCCATGGATCCATCCTGACCCCATCCCGACCCCACGGATCCATCCCGATCCCCCAGGGATCCATCCTGACCCCATCCTGACCCCACGGATCCATCCC